CTTAGTAGCATGTCGTTGCACCTTTTCCAGTTTGTTGATGTGCTTCTTAAGAGGGATACTTTTCAGCCAAGATAAGCCTTAGGGGCGAGTTGACTATTGGACCCCACAAACTGGGGCCAGTAGAGTAGTTTATTAAAAGTTGTTCAATGTCAACCAATCTTTTTTGACTAGTTGTATATGAAAAGGGCTGCAAGTGTTCCAAGTTTCAGTACTGCAGCCTAAATAGAAAGGGAGATTTATTTTTGTTTTTTCAACGAATATTACACATTTTCAAGTGTATATACAACTACACGTTTCAGATATAATCATTCTATGACATTTTTCTGACATTTGCATATAATTAAGGATCTGAAGTTGGGGATTTTCCAAAACATATTTAGTTTTCCTAATAAAAATAATCAAAGTTTTCCCCCCCCTCCCCCAAAATAAAGGTGCAAATTTAACATATTTATTGCTATTATAAAATCAATAAATGAACTTAGGAAAAAATGCTTTTTACAGATTTGTAGAGTCATAAACTTTACATATAAGGTGTAAATTTCATGTAAGTTGAATAAAAAATGAAAGAGTTATATGAACATTTATGTTACTTGAAATAAATAAGTAAAAAATAAAGTCTAAGGTGCTGTCATCTGTGGCTGAGGTTGATATCAACCAATTTCCTCTAAAATTGGCACCCTTATAGATAGGCTTACGTGCAGTCAGGTGTACAAGTTTCATGCAAATCGTCCAATAAACAAATAAGAAAAATCAAATTAAAAAAAAATAACTTTTTTTTACTTCATTTTTTTTAAATAAAACTAATTATATTTTTTTTATTATATGATATTGTGATAGCCGAGAGTCATAGACATGATTTCAGTTGACACTTGTGTTTAATAATCGTTTTTGACAATTTTGGAAATTTTTTTGACACTTAACTCAATATTTTTTTCTCCCTTCCTATTTATGCTACGATGCTGAGACTTGGACCAGATGAAACCCTTTTCATATACAACTTGTCAAATAAGTTTGAAATCGAACAATTTAAAAAACTACCTAATGGCCCCTTAAGGTCACCAAGTTCTCTACTCTTCCTTGCTAATTACAAAGGTAGCATGGGCTTTAACAATACAAGATCCTGACACTTAATCACTTTACAAATGTGGACCAAGATGGATGGGGTATAGACCATGTGGAACAGAAATCAGAGTGAATGAATCAAAATAACAAACCACCACCCACACACAGTGTTTGATAAATCAACTGAGTTTAAAACTGCTAATCACTAAAAAATACAGAGAAGCAGCACTGCTATAGCACTTATGAGACACAATGCACTTATCATTATTGTGGGAGACCGTCACACACACAGGCGACGACTGGCCTTCTGGACCACACACAACATATTCCCAGAGACCGTGCAACTCTCTGTCCAACTGCCTGTTCCAATAACATTTCATAACCACTTGTATCCCCAAATAGTTCATTTGTATGTCTTATAAAGTTCCAGGCTCTTTTCAACATTTAACACCATTGTTTCTATATATTTTCCAGCCCTGAATATACTTTTTAAACATGTATTTTTTTTGGCTGTTTACTCTGTTCTGGGCTGATGCCTTCCTCGTATGACAATGCTCTGCACTTGTGCAGAACTGACTATTGTACTGGCAAGGATTCCAAATCCAAGACTTCCAGACTGTTTTTCAACATTTAACACTACTGTTTTTGTGTCTCTACTGAGTTATACACTTCACAAGGGTCTCTCTCTTACAGGAAATCATCATCAATGTCCCCCAGGCAGAACACTCGTCCACATCCACTGCCCCTAAAGGACAAGCGGAGTCCAGGGAAAAAGCTTTGAAGAACGGAGTCGGCTGGAGAGAGACTGTAGCCTTGGTGGGAAGAAGAAGCTCAATTACCTCCGCACCATAACGGAAGGGGCAGCTCCCGAAGCCACCCGAGCCTCACCTCAAGCTAAACCCTAAAACTCACAGACATCCGGGAGCCGGCAAAGAGAAAGGGGAGGTAAAAGGCAAACACGCCCACCAGGGAATGAAGAGGCAGCGCGGACTGAAGCAAGGCTGAAGTGACCAACGCCCCCCAAAGTCAAGTCCCGAAAACCCAAGCGGGGTAGCTCTGGGGCTTCCAAAATGGCACACAACCTGTCACATATCATCACAGAGATTATGCAACGTGACCACTACTCGATCCCACAGAATATCAGATGGGGATGAGTGAAAATGGAGCACAAGCGTGGAACAAGACCTGCAGGCCTTCGGGTCAGGTGTCACCTAATTCAACAGGCAGCAGGGCTGAGGCAGAATGGATGATCGTCACCCAGAGGCAGAGGCGACGAGCAACCTACGAATTCGCTCAAGGCAAGAGCAGACTTGGAAATAGTACTATTGCATAACCAAGCCCCCTGGGGTTTTCCAGGGCCTGGAGGGTGAATGAGCCCTACAGGAAGCCCAGGCACTGGAGCCAGCTAAGTGGGTAAACCCTGTAAAACCCTGTGGTGGTGGAAGAGGACTCCCAAACATTGGGGAATTCGTATGGTAATCTCGAGGCTTTTGTCTCTTTGAATCCAGCAGTGGTCTGTATTGATTCATTGACTTTCTGGATGTTTTCCTGGTTGGGGTGGCAGTGTCACCTGGTTTCTGTGTCTGAGGTGGCCAAGTTCTGGCTCTGGTTCACAGTAGGCCAAACAGAACTTCACAGCTGATGTGACCTAGTAGATAGAAGCCATCTTGATGAGATAGCTAGAGGAAGCCACGAGGGCTCTCCCAGAAAAACTGGATTTCAAGAAAATGTAGAGATATGATCACCACATAAATGATGTCAGGGGTGAAGAAAGTTGATAAAGAAGACATCTAATTGCTTGTCTTGAACATGAGTATTGTACATACTGTAAGTACATAATCAAGAAATATTAATGTAAAAATAATTTCAAACAATATTTCTTCAGTAATAAAATAGTTGGGGAACTAAACAACGATCAGGAGAAAGATAAATGTAGTAAAAATATTGCAGCTTTTAAGGCTGAATTTGATAAAATTTATAGAAATGATGGAACACAATGAGCATAATGCATTTTTTCTGCATCTACAATTAGGTAATTACACACATTATTCTGACCTATTGTTGTCAAGCCGTTGGTATCCGTCACCTGGCCCAAGCAGCAAGGAGGAGCGTTCATGTGGCCCCCCTGAACCACTTGTGAGAGCAAGAGTTCCTCCTCCAGACCCACCACTTCCCCATGCACGAGTAGCTTCACTCCATCCACGTCGAGACACTTCGCTCACCTAAGAAAACGTTAAAAGGTTAGGAAAGAACAAGAAAATTTGGATAACTTGATCATCACTAAGAAAGTGATAAGAGGGTGCCATATCCTGTGTTTGAAACCTTCCAAAGTAAAATGTTTGGAGACAAAAAAAATAATAAAAAATCCTAGTCAAATTCTTCCTCTCTCAACATCTGCCAAGTGGCAGTAAACCACTCATTAAATATCACACTGAATTGGCTTATAAATACAAAATTATAACAGGAATCTACAAAATTGACAAGAAAGAATTCTTGCACCTTCATGAACAAGAGGTTTATATAGACTCAAGTTAACCCTTAGACCGCGCAATACATATATGGACGAAGGGAGTAAGTTCACCGAAACCACGCATTCTATATATAGATGATTGAGGCTCTAGCACACTATTTTAAATGCCCCGCGAGGGATAGGGGCAGCTATAGTCCAGCCACAATCGATAGTTAACAGATGCCATATAGAAAAAATATTGTGGGTCACATTCCCGGGGTGTGAGAGCCTCGGTACTGAGTGAGATAGGAGGCTGGCGCACGCAGCATGAACTCACAGCACCGCTGTTCAACTTGTGACCACAGCATCGCCTAAAAATGTAAAAATATATGTCAAAATATAATATATATTCTAGTATATACTGTATATGTACTATTAAAATACAGTATGACAGTATTACAGAAGACCCTTGACTGTGATAAAACTAACCAGGATTCTGATAACAGGATTGTGGTGATATTTAGCACTGCGCCATGGTGAGGAGTAATGCTGAGGGAGGGGAGGGAGGGAGGGAGGTGGCGTCGTCTTCCGATTGTGTGTGGCCACCTTTTATCGACGGGACTTAGCATACAGCTTAGTGGTTCGCTATGGTGAACAAAAATGTAGATACTTACATATAACGTGTGTATAGTGTAAAATAATAGCAATAGGAGTTATGTTGGGAGCCGCCATTTTGTTGAGGGAGATGCGTCATCTGCATGACATGTCATGATGTTTATTGTTGGCCACTATGGTCTTTGGGCAAAATACCAGCTTATCTGTACAGGTATGGTGAATAAAACCTGTAGATACTTGTATATTATGTGTGTATATAGCGTAATAACACCACAAACAGTATTGTTGGAGGAGAAATATTAGTGCATCTGGCCATACAAGCTTAGATGTACAGTTATGGTGAACAAAACATGTAGATACTTATATATAACATCTGTGAATAGTGAATAAAAGCAAACACAGTATGGTGGGACGAGTATATTGGCGAGTGAGGTGAGGGAGGGAGGGCAGCCAGTAGCTAGCTAGCTTGTGTGTGGCGACCACTCCTAGGTGTTTTTTGACTCTCAATACCAACTTAGTGGTTCATTATGGTTAACAAAACATGCAGATATTTATATACACCTGTGTATATAGTGTAATAACAGCAAAACTATTTGTTTATTGTTTTATGAACATAATAATTGAATCACTAATATGCATACCATAATTTTGAATACAGCGATGGTTCACACATTTTATTATATAAATCTATCACAATACACACTATTGAATAATATTACTATTGCCAAAAAAAAAAAAAAAAAAAAAAAAAAAAAAAAAAAAAAAAAAATCAGAGACATTGAAATAATTAGGTAATATCTTTGTGGCAACTCCCGCCTGACAGCTGGGGCAGAGTAGATCTCGTCTGGCGCCTGCTCTGTCATCTCTTTTTTTGCCAGACTTCCCTTCCCTATTGCGGCCAAAATATGCCACCTACAATTTCTTTTCCCTGTTATCAGGGAACACAAATGAACACTTTTATAAGACGAAAGAATTTTTGGGATTTTTTTTTTTTTGTTGCGCCTGTGGGTGTTGAAGGCCAAAATGCCCTTAGTGGCCTAAGGGTTAGGAAACAAATCTGCCAAAAAAAACCAGTGTTGAATGTAATGAAACACCATTTTTTTGGGTGAGCCCCTGAGGCACCCTGAAGCTGTTGTTTTCCATGTTCTTTTAGATTCAGCTACTCAGAACAAGAAGTTTCAAGTAGTATGGGCTATTGTGAGCCAGTAGTGGACTTACCTGGCACAGGAACGGGGCTTTAACTGATGCACCTTTCTGATCAAGTGCCATACTACTTGAGAGTCATCAGTTGCAGAGTTCTTTGTAAGCCTAGCAGGGACCATGAGCCAGAACCTGGCCCGCTCAGAGAGGCTAAGGGAGCATTGGCCCATGAACACTTTACATATAAAATATGTCATCTTGCCATCGACAAAGGAAGGAAGGAACCCAGAAAGGAAGGCGAAGCAAAGCAGACTACTGCCTAGTTGAAAAGTGCGACCTACCTGCTGGATGCTGTTCCGAGAGTTCTTTTACTCCTCAAACACAGCCTGGGGCCAGGCTTATGTATGTGAGTGAACATACATACACATACATACATTACACACACACACACACACACACACACACACACACACACACACACACACACACACACTTTAGTTTCAAAGCGTTGTATGACAAAGAGTGCTGGGAAGACGGGATACCACGAGCGTAGCTCATCCTGTAACTACACTTAGGTAATTACACACACACACACACACACACATACACACACACACACACATACACACACACACACACATACACACACACACACACATACACACAAGGGGAAAGACAGAGAAAGGGGATAGACAGGAGGCACTGAACTAAATCAACCATTGTGACCAGGCAACAAAAATAAGGCAAGAAAGAGAAGGGTGGGCAGACTGCATATTTTTGGATTGTCAGAAAGCCTTTGATACAGTGCCACACAAGAGGCTAGTGCGAAAGTTGGAGATGCAGGCTGGAGTGAGAGGGAAGGTACTCCGGTGGATAGAGGAGTACCTAAGCAACAGGAGACAACGAGTCTGTGTGAGGGGTGAGGTCTCAGATTGGCGAGACGTCACAAGTGGAGTCCCGCAGGGGTCAGTCCTTGGACCTATACTGTTTCTGGTATATGTAAATGATCTCCCAGAGGGTACAGATTCGTTCCTCTCAATGTTTGCCGACGATGCAAAAATTATGAGGAGGATTGAAACAGAGGATGATAGTAGGAGGCTACAAGATGACCTGGATAGACTGAGTGAATGGTCCAACAAATGGCTGTTGAAGTTCAACCCGAGTAAATGCAAAGTAATGAAACTAGGCAGTGGAAACAGGAGACCAGGCACAGGATACAGAATAGGAGATGAAGTACTTAATGAAACAGACAGAGAGAAAGATCTAGGAGTTGATATCACACCAAACCTGTCTCCTGAAGCCCACATAAAGAGAATAACGTCTGCGGCATATGCGAGGCTGGCTAACATCAGAACGGCGTTCAGGAACCTGTGTAAGGAATCATTCAGAATCTTGTACACCACATATGTAAGACCAATCCTGGAGTATGCGGCCCCAGCATGGAGCCCGTACCTTGTCAAGCACAAGATGAAGCTGGAAAAAGTCCAAAGGTATGCTACTAGACTAGTCCCAGAACTAAGAGGCATGAGTTATGAGGAAAGGCTGCGGGAAATGCACCTTACGACACTGGAAGACAGAAGAGTAAGGGGGGACATGATCACAACCTACAAAATCCTCAGGGGAATCGACCGGGTAAACAAGGATGAACTATTCAACACTGGTGGGACGCGAACAAGGGGACACAGGTGGAAGCTGAGTACCCAAATGAGCCACAGAGACGTTAGAAAGAACTTTTTCAGTGTCAGAGTAGTTAGTAAATGGAATGCATTAGGAAGTGATGTGGTGGAGGCTGACTCCATACACAGTTTCAAATGTAGATATGATAGAGCCCAATAGGCTCAGGAATCTGTACACCAGTTGATTGACGGTTGAGAGGCGGGACCAAAGAGCCAGAGCTCAACCCCCGCAAGCACAATTAGGTGAGTACAATTAGGTGAGTACACACACACACACACTTAGATGATTGTCATGCCCTTCAAGAAGACCTGGACAAAATAAGTACATGGAGCGCCACTTGGCAAATGGAATTTAATGTTAATAAATGTCATGTTATGGAATGTGGAATAGGAGAACATAGACCCCATACAACCTATATATTATGTGAGAAATCTTTAAAGAATTCTGATAAAGAAAGAGATCTAGGGGTGGTTCTAGATAGAAAACTATCACCTGAGGACCACATAAAGAATATTGTGCGAGGAGCCTATGCCACGCTTTCTAACTTCAGAATTGCTTTTAAATACATGGATGGAGATATACTAAAGAAATTGTTCACGACTTTTGTTAGGCCAAAGCTAGAATATGCAGCAGTTGTGTGGTGCCCATATCTTAAGAAGCACATCAACAAACTGGAAAAGGTGCAAAGACATGCTACTAAGTGGCTCCCAGAACTGAAGGGCAAGAGCTACAAGGAGAGGTTAGAGGCATTAAACATGCCAAAACTAGAAGACAGAAGAAAAAGAGGTGATATGATCACTACATACAAAATAGTAACAGGAATTGATAAAATCGACAGGGAAGATTTCCTGAGACCTGGCACTTCAAGAACAAGAGGTCATAGATTTAAACTAGCTAAACACAGATGCCGAAGAAATATAAGAAAATTCACCTTCGCAAATAGAGTGGTAGATGGTTGGAACAAGTTAAGTGAGAAGGTGGTGGAGGCCAAGACCGTCAGTAATTTCAAAGCGTTATATGACAGAGTGCTGGGAAGACGGGACACCACGAGCGTAGCTCTCATCCTGTAACTACACTTAGGTAATTACACTTAGGCAATTACACACACACACATTTTTATCCCAAGTTCTTTCCCAAGAGGCAGACAAGAGGAGCTCCAGCATATTTCAACAATCCTAAGTATTGTAGTACAGGATGATGATAGTGAGTGGTGTCCCAGAGAACATAAAGGTATAGTACTTTTGAAAAATAGGTGAGATAACAGGAATGTGCCAAGGGAAGTGAAAAATTGGATGAGAAAAAGTTGCCCTAGTGTTTCCAGTGCAGAGAAGAACATTCAAG